TGGGTGCATGTGCATGCGTGCCCAAGATCCCGAGAGGAGAATGGAGGAGAAGGGATTGCGGCGTGGCCATCCCCCCTAGGGGGTGATTTCTCCCTTTCTGTCTCTTGGTCTCTTTCTGGTGAGTGCACACGCCCTAAAGCAAAAACCTCTCAAAAACAAACAAACAAACAAAAAACAGAAAAAAAAAAAAAAGAAAAAAGAAAAAGCCCACTGCCTGCCCTCTCTGTCTCAGGATCTGAAAAATATCAGTTCTAGAAAACATGCTCACCGCACTCTGAATTAGACCCACACATAGTTATGTGCCTCTCCAGGGCTTGGTAACAGATCTAGACCCTGATGGCTTATGCGACCGCCTTTTTTTTTTTTCTCATAGGGTATTTTCTTCTTTTAGAAGAAACATTGCTAAGATAAAGATGAGTCCAGAGTGCGTTAAACTGGAAAAGAATTATTAGAGTGACATGGCATTATGCTTGCCAGAGGCCACAGCTAGGCAATTTTTGAAGCATTAAGGATATGACTGTTAAGCTAAAAGACTCCTATCTGCACCAACGCCATAGCCTAGTACTTAAGGGACTAGGATTCCACATGGCTGATCGTGGTTCAAATCCCAGTCCCAACAGTTTGAGAAACACACAAGGGCATGTGTGCATGCATACCCCAAATCCATGGAGAAATGGAGGAGAAGGGATTGTGCTTTCAGTCTCAACATATTACTCTTTTTTAAAAAGTTTACTCCCAGCCCCAACAGTTTAAAACGCACACACACACATACACACGCACAGAGAGAGAGAGCAAGAGAGAGAGCAATAGAAAGAGAACACCCCTAACAAGTTCCTGACACTGCAATCCACTCCATCCTTAAGTTTTGCCACTCTGCCACCACCTGGCCCCCTAACACTTTACTCTTTTTTTTCTTTTTCTTTCTTTCTTTCTCTTTGGAGAGGTTTTTGCTATAGGGCAGGTGCACTCGCCAGACAGACAGAGACAGAGAGACAGAAAGCAAGAAATCACCCCCCAGGAGAGATGGCCACACCGCAATCCCTTCTCCTCCATTCTCCTCTCGGGATCTTGGGCACGCATGCACACGCGCCCGGCGTGAGTTTAAGCCACTGGGTCCAGGACTCAAACTGTGGTCGACTGTGTGGGAGTCCGGCAACATAGCCATTATGCTAACTGCTGGTCTCCCCTAACACTTTACTCTTGTCATCTGGGTAGTATCTATGAGCTATCTCCATTTCCCCATCTCTCCCTCTTCTAGAATTTTCTAGAGTCTAGTGCTCTCTGCAAAAACTGTTCTCTGTAAGCAAGTTCACCAGTGACCTCTGGCAAAATACAAGGGTCTCTGCTTAGTTTTTATCTCAGACCTCAAAGAGGAATTTGA